CCCAGCACCCACGTGGCGGCTGACAACCCTCCCTAACTTCAGTTCTAGGGGGATCCTACACCCTCTCTGACCTCCTCAGGCATTGCAGGACATGGGTACACTTAAACACATGCAGGCAATACATTCATGCACATAAAAAATAAAAATAAATAAATACTTTCTTAGAGCCAGGTGTAGTGGTGCATTCCTTTAATCCCAGCACTCAGGAAGCAGAGGCAGGCAGATGTCTGTGAGTTCGAGGCCAGCCTGGTCTACATAGTGAGTTCCAGGCCAGCCGGGGCTAGTGGGAGATCCTGTTTCAAAAAGACAAAACAAAAAAAACAGAAACAAAGAAACCTTCATGGTATGATCTAGGTGGGTATCTGAACCAAACACTGAATGTCATGGATGACACATAAAGCTGTTACAGCCACCTGCCTTCCGGTATTCCCTAACCACTGAAGCCTCCGTTTCCTCTTCCGTAGTTGTAATGTAGGGGTACAAAGCCCAACTTGACGGGTTGTCTTGGGGTTTTACATGAAACAAATGGGTGTAAAGTGCCTGGTAGAGTTCCTGGCGCATACTAGGTGTACAGTAGAAGGCTCTGCTGGGACAAGCACACACTCTGCAGACAAGTCCCGCCCTAGCTCCTCTGCATGAGAGACACGTGACCTTGAGAAGAACTTTTAACCTCTTCAAGCCTTCCCTTCCACTGTGATAATGAGACAAGTATAACAGCTCTGATGTAAGCCAGCCATGGTGGTCCTCAGGAGTCAGGGGCAAGAGGAGCTCCATGAGTTCAAGACCAGCCTAGGCTACATAATTCACCCTAGACCCTGTCACAAACACAGTCAATCAAGAAGAACTTTAGGACACTCTGCTGTTAGGGAGCTGACAAATGCTCTTTCCCATCCCCTCCTGGTAGGCTCTTGGGCGATGTCTGGGAGTTCAGGTGGTCGGGTGGCAAGCATCAGGGCCCAGGCAGTAGGTGTATCAGGTGAGTAGGTGTAGCTCCTGAGAGCAACAGAGGGAAGCTGAGAGGAGAGAACTGCTAGCTTTCCATCACTGTGACAAAACACCTGACAACATTCGGTTTAAAGAGAGAAAGGTTTGGGGGTTTTTGTTTTTCATGTGTATGAATGTTTTGCCTGCATGCATATAAGTGCACCATGTGTGTGCACACCTGCAGAAACCAGAAGAAGATATCGAATTCCCTGAAACGAGTTAGAGACGGTTGTTCAAAGTCATATAGGTACTGGAAATTGTATTTAGGTCCTCTACAGGAGCAGCCAGTCCTCTTAACCACTGAGTTATCTCTCCAGCCCCCAAAGAGAAAGGTTTAATTTTGGCTCACAGTTTGGGAGCTTTCAGCCCATGGTCAGTCGGCCCTGCTGCATTTAGATCAATGGTGAATCTGTACATTGTGGCTAAGCACATCATGGAGAGAGCTGCCCACCTCCTGGTGGCTGGGAGAGAAAAGGAGGAGATGGGTGTCCCTGTATCTCCCTCAGGGGCTCACTTCCTAAAGATTCTGCCACCTCTCAGTAGCACCACAGCCTGAGGAATCAAGCCTTGAACATATGAGCCTTTGGGGAACATTCAGGATTCAAACTATAGCCAGGCATGTTGGCATATGCCTGTAATCCCAGCACTCAGGAGGCTGAGGCTGGAGGAGTTGGAGTCCAGGTCAGCTGGGGCTACGGAGTGCTTGCCTAGGGTGCAAAAAGTCCTGGCTTTAACCCCCAGCACCACATAAACAGTGTGGTGGCCACACCTGTAATCCCAGCACTTGGGAGACAGAGGAAGAAGTATCAGAACTCCAGGGACATGGGCTGCGGAGAGGATGACTGTCAAATGCCTGTTGTATAAGCATGAGGACCTGAGTTCAGATGACGTGAGGCCAGTGAGGTAACTCAGGGTAAAGGCAATTGCCAAGCTTGACCATCCGAGTTCCTCAGATCCTGAGGACCCACATGGTGGAAGTGGAGAACTGACTTACCCAAGTTGTCCTCTGATCTCCACACACATGAGCATCCCCTTCTCTGCAAAGTAAATAAATTAAAATGTAATAAAAATTCTAGAATTAGGGCCTGTAGAGATGACTCAGTGGTTAAGAGCATTGGCTACTCTTGCTAAGGATCCAAGTTCCATTCCCAGCACCCACACGGTGGCTAACAAACATCTGTAACTCCAATTCCAGGGGATCTGACACCCTCTTCTGGCCTCTCTATACACATACATTCAGGCAGGCAAAGCACTCATATACATAAAATAAAAATAAAATCTTGGACCAGATGTGGTGGCACAGGCCTTTAAATCCCAGCACTTGAGAGGCAGGTGGATCTCTGGAGATGAAGTCCAGCTTAGTCTACATAGCAAATTCTGGGCTAGCTGGGACTACAAGGAGACCCTGTCTCAAAAAAAAAAGAAATTTTAAAATGTTAGAATTAGCCGGGCGTGGTGGTGCACACCGTTAGTTCCAGCACTTGGGAGGCAGAGGCAGGTGGATCTTCGTGAGTTCCAGGTCAGCTGAGGCTACAGGGAGACCCTGTCTCAAAAATACCAAAAAAAAAAAAAAAAAAGCTCAGTGTGTTGGTACCCACTCATAACCCATATTCCAGTGATAGGGAAGACACATAATGTTGATCTCTGGCTTCGCACATAAACAAGTTCAAGTCCATTCTTAGTTACGTGGTGAGTTTAAGGCTAGCCTGGTCTATAAGAGAACCTGTCCAAAAAAAGTGAAGGCAATGGGGAAGGAAAAATAAAAAAAGATCCAAACAGAGGCAGGCACACTGCACACAGAATGCACACAGAAAGCCCAGCCTCTGCCTTCGTAGGCCTGAGGGCTCTAGGCTGGGCTCTCTGTGCAGAGCAAAGTCTCTTGGAATCTGAGCCACCCCCTTCATCAGTCCACCTCCCTGCCCCACCTCTGACGAGGAGGTCATGGAGGGGATGGGGGACCTTGACCTTCAGAGGCTGTAATGGCATCATGATACTTTTGGGTAGGATGTGATAGTGGTTTGAGGATAAACCCTTAATCCAAGTGGTCAGCCAGGAAGAAATGGAACTGTTATTTTTGGAAAGCCCCCTGGCCCTCCCAGTCACCATTTGTCTGCCCAGTACACATGCACTCACGTGATGCCTTCCCCTCGCACGCACTCTGTCCAGCCAGTCCCACCTGTCCTGCTTCTCTGGCCTTGTGTGCTAGTAACATGCAGCCTCTTGTTTTGCTAAATGGTCCTCAGCCAGACTGGCATTCCACCTACCCACCACTGGGGCCTGTTACTCTCTGACAGTAATTCCTCTGGACCCTCACAGTCCAGAGCTCTAGGTGGCCACAGGATTTGGACTACCTGCAGGGGTTCCCAAGGTCTTGACACCTCTGGGCCAGGGATCACAGCAAGACAGGAGAGGTGAAGGAAGATTGGAGCCTGTGTCAGGCCCCTCGGGACCCCACTTTCGGAGAGTGTGTGTGGGGAACTGTGTGGGAAATGCAGACTTGTGGTTTTCTGGTAAACACCATGCCACCCATGTGCCAGAGCCTTCTCTGAATTGACCCCTTGACCCTTCACCCTCATCTAAGACACTTCTGTTAAGTGCCTTCATTTTACTGAGGAACAAAAACTTGATGGGGGGGCGTGTTTTTTTTCTTCAAAGCTGGAGTTTAAGAAGAGATTTGAGGGGGTTGGAGAGATGGCTCAGCGGTTAAGAACACTGACTATCTTTGCAGAAGATCCAGGTTTGAATCCCAGCACCCACACAGCAGCTAACAACTGTCCCTACCTCTAGTTCCAGGGGATCCCACAGCCTCTTCTGTCCTCCACGCGCATTGCACGAAATGGGTGCACTTAACTACATGCAGGCAATACACACATACACATTAAAAAAAAAAAAGGCGAGAGAGATTTGAACATAGATTTAAGATCAAACATTGAAGGAGAAGGAGATGCTTAGGGAAGGGATGGATTTGGGGTCTGCTGGCTCCCCATGAGCCCAGAGCTGCTGCACCCTCCAGAGCACCCTGCCAGAGAAGACAAGAGGTCCACTCTCCCCAAATGGGGACCACAGGACAGTTGGAATGATAGCAGTTAGGTCCAGCCAGCCATTTTAGGAACTTGGGTCCCCTCCCCCTCAAACCTCACCAGCCATGAGAGCAGCCCACCATGGCCTCTCTGCTGCCTGAGCTCCTCTGCTGTGGTCAGAGTGGGGTCTTCAGAGCAGGGAGTCTGGGAAGAAGAGAAGGAAAGCGGGTTGTAATGAGACGAGAGGTCAATTGACCTGTGAGAAGCAGGCTGCAATCTGGGGGTGTTAATGTTAGTAATGTGGCTCCGGTCTCCCTCAGGTGTTCCTAATTGAGGACTTGATCCTGGTTTGGGGATTGGGCACCTGCCTCCAAAATGTCACCAAACAGTCGCAGGAGAGAGGAGAGACCTGGAGAAGGGCATGGCGGGTGGGGGACGGGCAGTGCCAGGGAGCCAGTGCAGCTCCCACACCTCTCTGAATCCCAGGGGAGCTTCAGAAGATTCAGATGGCTTCTGACTGAATCATGTGACAGCATGTCATCCCGAAGCCACAGTCACAGCCTCCCTCTCTCCTCAGCCCACACCTCTGTGCATTGAATAGAAAACAGGGAAGCTCATTACATTGCTTAAATCACCACAGCCGTGCGGGTCCAGCAAGGACTCTTGTGGGTGTGCTTTTGAGGCTCTTGAGCAATCCCCAGCATCATCCCTGGAGTCTATATGGACTAGAGTTCTTACTAGAGTTCTTGAGGTGGGGGGCTGGTTGCGCAGCAGTCTGCACCCCTGTAGTTTCCAAAAGACACATTCCACCCCACAGGGGGCCCTATGTACGGCTCTCAGCCAGGAGAGCTGCTTACCAAGGACCTCCTGAAGAGTCTGCTTGGCCCAGAGCCCAAAATGCCTGCAGCCACTCCCAGTCCTTGGTTGCAATTCTTGATGCCTGGCTCCCAGGCCTGGTGGGCAGTGTGCAACTACCCCTTTGTTGTGTGTCCACAGACCTCTCCCAGAGCTCCTCACCTCCCTCCCTGCTGGACCAGCTGCAGATGGGCTGTGATGGGGCCTCAGGCGGCAGCCTCAACATGGAGTGCCGGGTTTGCGGGGACAAGGCCTCAGGCTTCCACTATGGCGTCCATGCATGCGAAGGGTGCAAGGTATGGACTGTGGGGTGTGTGTGGACTGTGATCACATAGTAAATTGATCAACCGCAAGGGGTTGATCCCTGTCTTGGGGTGGGGCCCTGAAAAATACCCCCTGCAGAAACCTTGGGTCCTTCCAGGCCTGCTCTCTGGCCCTCCAGGAGCAAGGAAGGGTTTCCTTGCCAGGCTCATCCTGCTGGACACCTGCCTGATGACCCACCCACCCACTTGGTCTCTGTGGGGGGCCAGCACCCCCTGGGAACTGGGCTCCAGAGGCAGGCAGGACCTGGTGAGCCTTGGGCTGAGTATCTTTCTATTGAGGCTGGGGTCAGGTGCCTCAGGACTTAGAGCTTCTTCCTTGAGAAGAGAGTGGTTGTTTCTTCTAATGACATTCATAAGTTGTTTTATTAAGCCACCACCTGGGAGACTGGAGAGAGAGGGCTCAATGCTTAAGAGCACTTTCTGCTCTTACACAAGACCCAAGTTTGGTTCTCAGCACAACTGCCTGTGACTCCAGCTCCAGAGAAGCTGATTCCTTCTCCTGGTCTTCTTGGGCACTGACACTCACATGTGCGTGTGCACACACACAAACACACACACATAAAAATAAATATGCTGGGCGTGGTGGTGCATACCTTTAATCCCAGCATTCAGGACACAGAGGCATGTGCATCTTTGTGAGTTCAAGGCCAGCCTGGTCTACATAGTGAGTTTCAGGCCATCTGGGGCTACAGGGAGACCCTGTCTCAAAAAGACCAAAAGAAAAATATAAATAAATCTGTAGAAAAATTCCACGTTCTGGAGAGATGGCTCAGCGGTTAAGAGCACTGGCAGAGGACTCGGGTTTGGTTCCCAGCATCAACATGGCAGCTAAAAGTGTCCATAACTCCAGTTCCAGGGGGATCCAATGCCCTCTTCTGGTCGCCACAGGCATTGCACACATGGGTGCACTTATATACATGCAGACAGTGCACTCATACACATAAAATAAATTACTAAAAAGAGAAATCCCCCAACACTGCCAGATCTCAGCTCTTCTTAGGACCTTGCTAACTGGGCAGAACAAGCTCCTTATACCCTTTGATCCTGCAGGGTTTCTTCCGCCGGACAATCCGCATGAAGCTGGAGTATGAGAAGTGTGATCGAAGCTGCAAGATCCAGAAGAAGAACCGCAACAAGTGCCAGTACTGCCGCTTTCAGAAGTGCCTGGCACTGGGCATGTCACATAATGGTGAGAGCCAGCCCTGCACGGCACGGCACTGTGGCTGCATGCAGCCAACCCAGCATCTGAGGCCCCCAGTGCCACTAGAGGGTGTCAGGGCAGCAGTGCCTGGCACAGACAAGTGGTGGAAATGGCTGCTGACTGCTGATCTCAACCCAGGGTCTCAGAGCCTAACATTGCCACGTCCCCAGACTCCTCAGCATCTACACAGGTCCCAGGTCTGGGCAGTCACCACATCTTTGAACCTGTGGCTCACCTGCTGTGGCCCAGGAAGACTGAGCACAGTGCCCAACAGGAATGGGGTCTGCAACACCAGTCCCCACACTGCAGCATAACACGGCATGAAGACCACAGTGGAGGCCATGATCCCCTCAGCCCTTGGTTCTGCCCCAGGCTCTGGGTCTCTTGCAGACCCATGTCTTCAGACCTCTGGGCAGGATATTATAAAGCCTCTGGGTCAGACCTCCAGAGAACAGAGAAAAGCGTTTGTTTAAACTCTGTGGTGGCTAGCCTGCTGGACAGCGTGCACACACACACACGCACGCATGCATGCACCCCTCTGTGTATGCACCTGCTGCCTTACTTCTTCAAGGACAGCAGGATCTCAGCTCTCCATCTGTGGCTTCTCCTGGATAGTGGGTTCCAGTGGGTCTGAGGCTAATTCTTGCCCCTTTTCTACATCCTAATGTTGTCCCCTTAAGGGCGCATAAGAAGCCCTAGGATATTTGGGAGTTTTTTTGGTTTTTTGACACAGGGTCTCCCTGTAGCCCCAGCTGACCTGGAACCTGCTATATAGACCAGGCTGGCCTCAATCTCACAGAAATCTGCTTCTGGCGTACTGGAATTAAAGGCGTGCACCACCACATCCATAAGGAGCCCTAGGAAGTCTCAGGCAGATTGAACCTGTCCCTCATGCTTTCTCTGACAGAATCCAAGGCCTGCTTCATTATTACTGACTGTAATTGTGTGTGTCCATGTTGACGTGTGTGAAGGTGCATGTATGTGCACAGGTGTGCATGTGGAGGCCAGAGGACAGCCTTGGCTATTGTTCCTAAGGCAAAGTCTCTCACTGTCCTGGAGTTTGCTAATAAGCTAAGCTAGGGGCCAGTGTGCCCCAGACCTCCACCTGTCTCTGCCCCTCCACACCTATCTTTTTTTTTTTTTTTTTAACAAGTTCTGTGGGTTTGGAGTCAGGTCTAATGCTTGCAAGTCAGGTCTCATGCTTGCCATGACTCTGATTTTTGAATGCTTATTTGTGAATACTCTTAATTGTCCTGGTAAAGCTTTAGGGAGTGTCAGCCCCATTTCCTGACATGAAGGTAAAGTGGCTCCTGCAGAGTCACAGAGTTGGAGGGAGCTGGAGCCCAGGTACAGGCCTTGTCATCATAGGCTTTCTTCCTTGCAGCCAGACCCCCAGCCCCAGTTTGCACAGGTTCTCTGTGAGTGAGGACCCTGTATGCTAAGCACAGCAAGGGCGACAGGATCCCTGTCTTGGGGCTCAGGCTTGCGGGAGCCAACTCAGCATTGCATCCTTGCTGACTGGGGCCTCTGAGGGTCTTGGGCTCCCAAAGGACAACTCCTTTACCTGCAGTGCCTCAGAGAAACAGGGAGGAGAGAGATGCTAGCCCGGCTCCTCCGTGACTGTCCCCCACCCCTGTGCAGCCATCCGCTTCGGTCGGATGCCAGAGGCTGAGAAGAGGAAGCTGGTCGCGGGGCTGACAGCCAATGAGGGGTACCAGCACAACCCCCAGCTGGCTGACCTGAAGGCCTTCTCTAAGCACATCTACAACGCCTACCTGAAAAACTTCAACATGACCAAAAAGAAGGCTCGCAGCATCCTCACCGGCAAGTCCAGCCACACAGCGGTGAGTGTCACTGGCCAGCCCAGGCTCCGGGCTGTGCTGCCTCCAGCCTGCCACCCGGGAGAACCAGCTTCCTCCCTCCCCTAACTTCAGGTCCAGGTGGGGTGTGGGGGACACAAAGATGGGGATTTCCCCCCAGCCCCAAGGCCTGGCCTCTGACGGGCCTGGTTTTCAGCCCTTTGTGATTCACGACATCGAGACCCTGTGGCAGGCGGAGAAGGGCCTGGTGTGGAAGCAGCTGGTGAATGGACTGCCGCCCTACAAGGAGATCAGCCTACATGTGTTCTACCGCTGCCAGTGTACCACGGTGGAGACCGTGCGTGAGCTCACCGAGTTTGCCAAGAGCATCCCCAACTTCAGCAGCCTCTTCCTCAATGACCAGGTGACCCTCCTCAAGTATGGTGTGCACGAGGCCATCTTTGCCATGCTGGCCTCCATTGTCAACAAAGATGGGCTGCTGGTGGCCAATGGCAGTGGCTTCGTCACCCATGAATTCCTGCGCAGCCTCCGCAAGCCCTTCAGTGACATCATTGAGCCCAAGTTTGAGTTCGCTGTCAAGTTCAACGCGCTGGAACTTGATGACAGTGACCTGGCACTCTTCATCGCAGCCATCATTCTGTGTGGAGGTGAGGGGGTAAGGCCCTCACTGCAGGGCACCAAGCTCGAGCTTAGCACCGTGGTGCTGACCACACATGCAGGATCAGCGGAATCTTGCTAAGAGATGTAGATGTAGAGAGAACTGAACATGAACATGCTGAGAATGTAGCTCAGGAGAATGTAGCTCAGTGGTGCTGAGAATGTAGCTCAGTGGTAGAGCACACATCTAACACACAGGAGGCCCTGGGTTCAATTCCCAGCACGGGGCGGGGGGGGGGGGGGGAAAGAAGGAAAGAAGGAATCTACCTGGGCGTGGTGGCGCATGCCTTTGATCCCAGCACTTGGGAGGCAGAGGCAGGTGAATCTCTGGGAGTTCAAGGCCAGCTGGTCTCCACAGTGAGTTCCAGGACAGTTGGGGCTACAGGGAGACCCTGTCTCAAAAAGACCAAATAAAAAAAAGAAATCTAAGAAATAGGTTGTTTTTTGTACCCCTTGCAATTTTCAAATTCATCATAATACAGGAGTAAACCTGTTTACCCACAGGAACATGGAGCTTAATTCATGCCAAGGTCATCCTAGATTAGAACACATTTGGTCCTCACAGAAACCCAGGTTGAGGACACTGGAGCCTGGAGCCTCCGATAGAGACATTATCCTGCCCAAGCCAGGCACAAACAATTGGCCAGAAACGGGGTGGGCAGAAAGCAGGGCAGTCTACGACACGGCAGGGTGTGAGTTTGTCTTGGACAAGGAGACCCCTGGGTGGGGTAGGGAGCTCTTCTGCCCCCTTGGCACCTCACACATGCCCTGTGTCCCCACAGATCGGCCAGGCCTCATGAATGTGCCACAAGTGGAAGCTATTCAGGACACCATCCTGCGTGCTCTGGAGTTCCACCTGCAGGTCAACCACCCTGACAGCCAGTACCTCTTCCCCAAGCTGCTGCAGAAGATGGCCGATCTGCGGCAGCTGGTCACTGAGCACGCCCAGATGATGCAGTGGCTAAAGAAGACTGAGAGCGAGACCTTGCTGCACCCTCTGCTCCAGGAGATCTATAAGGACATGTACTGAGGCCGAGGTCCAGCCCAAGCTGCTGGTGCCCAGTCACACTCCCAGACATGAGGCCCAGGCTCCTGCCCCTTCTCCTTCCCCCCATTGCTCCCCAGCTCCCCCATTTCTTACTGTTCGCCTCTCATGGTCCCCACCTTCCGGGCATCCCTAGTCTTCTGCCTTGCCTTCTGTGGAGTCCTCTTCCTGCCCCACATGTCTCCATGTCTGTCCCCCTCATTGGTACTCTTCACCAGCAGCCCAGAACAGGACCTCTGCCTTGACCACCTTCCTGGGAGCATGGGGCCTAGGCAGCCCTAGCCCTAGCCCTGCCCAGCCACTGCCTCGCTTCTGTACCCCTCTGCAAACACTTGAGCCATCCAAAGAAACACTACACTCCCGGCACAGCTTTCCAGAAAGCTTGGCCTGGACCCACTGCAGTCCTAGTCTGTGGTCATGGTCACAGGGTTCCTCCTGCAGAGAACAGTGGCCAGGGGGCCTGGGCTGAGAGCCACATGCCTCTCCTAGTCTGTCTCCCCAGCCCCTAGGCCATTGTCACTCTTAGCCCCTCTCCTGGCCCTGGGGCCACCCAGTGCATGGAGGGAGGTGGGGTTTCCTCCATATGGGGCACCCTTCCCTCACTGAAGAGGAGGGATGGCCCAAGGGAGCAGCACTCTTCCTCCAATGCCAGGGTGAAAGACCAGGAAAGGCTTGAGGCAGACCCTCCATCAGCATCACAGCAGGCCCCACCCTGCAGCAGCATCCACACTGGCAGAACCAGTTCCAGGAGCTGGGCTGCAGCTACTTTCCTCCAGCCAGGAGACTGGCACGCTCACCCCCAGAGATGCTGCCTCAGTGCAACCAAGGCACTGACCCACCTCATCATCACTGCAGGGCCCTTGCCCTGCCCTGCCCACTCCCAGGGCTGGGGTATGGGAGGCAGGTGTGACCCTGTTCCCAGGGGTGGTGGTCCCTGAGCATCCAGTGCAGGCTCTGAGGGATCATCAGATCCGTGCTCCCCTACATACATGCCTCCCAGCAGCTCTCTGCCCTTCCCTATTTTCAGCCTGCCTGGTCACTGAGCTCCCAGCTGCACAGTTTAAAGTGGGATGGAACTTGCTGGATGCACCCACCCTTTGCCCTGCCCCCTTCATGCTCTTAAGTGGAGGTGGGTTCTCCTGAGACCAAGGTTGGAGCCCAGCAGAGCAGGAGGCTGACCCTGCCCAGGCCTGCAGGGAGCGACCAGCCAGGGTGTTAGAGAAAAGAGGTGGGAGGGCTGGGCCTTTAAGCCCTGACATCCTGGATCTTGCCTGATCCTTCTTCCCCAGGGGCCTTAACTGTCAGACCGCAGCACTGGGAGGAAGTGGCTTGGAGAAGGGACCAGCTCTGTGTCTGCTCCTGCCAATTCAGTGGCCTTCTGTTGCCAGATCATCCCCTGCCAGCAACCCACCCCCTACCCCCCGCTTCCCCATACCCCAGCTGACCAGATCTTGGGGTGTTTCCTGTGGGACCCAGGCTGTGAATGGAACTGCATTCCCTGAACCACCCTGTCCCCGTTCCCACACAGGTCTGATGCTGAAGGAGCAGCTCCTCAGTGTCTGAAGTCTCCAAAATTGAAATGTATATTTTTGCTAGGAGCCCCAGCTTCCTGTGTTTTTAATATAAATAGTGTATACAAACTGACAGAACTTTAAATAAATGGAAATTAAGTATTTAAAAACGGGCTTGAAGCCGAGTTCCTCATGCTATTCCAAGGTCTAAGGGGCCCCTCCTCCCCCTCCATATCCAGGGCTGGAAGCATGTAGGACAAAGGAGGCTCCAGGTGCTGGCCAGGGTGCATCTGTTCTGGCAGTTGGTGCTGCTGGTCCTCACTCTTGCTGTGATCGCCCATCAGTCCAGAGAGGTGGGGAGGACAAGAGGTCATTGTTGGGTCTGAGGGTAAAATACTCAGCATGCTCAGAAGGGGCACTGGCTGGGGGTTCCTGGGGGAGGCTACAAGGCCTGGGGCTTGAGAACTCAATCCAGTTGACCTCTGCACCCCAAGCAGGGCTTCCCTCCCCTTCACTTCCAATGGAGCCATCTTCATGGGGCCAGTGAGTTCACATGTGGAGGGCAGAGGACAACTTGTAGGACTTGGTTCCCTGGAACCTGCTATAGCCTCAAACCCACAGTTGCCTGCCTGCCCGTGCTTCCCCAGTGCTGGGAATAAAGGTATCAACATGCCTGAACACATTTTTGGTGTGGGTGTATTAGAATACAGAAATTTTGTGGGGGGCTAGTAAGGAAGGGTACAGATACAGGAGATCTAAATATGATCAAAATACATTGTATGAGCCGGGCGTGGTGGCACACGTCTTTAATCCCAGCACTCGGGAGGCAGAGGCAGGTGGATCTCTGTGAGTTGAAGGCCAGCCTGGTCTACATAGTGAGCTCCAGGACAGTTAGGGCTACAGAGAGACCCTGTCTCAAAAAGACAAAAAAAAAAAGTGTATATATGTGTATATATATAATGAAAATTGCAGAAATAGCCAGGTGTGGGGAGCATGCGATCTCTGTCTCTGGCCTTGGTGAAGACCTAACATTGCAAGCTACTCAAAATAGAAGACTTAATCTAATCACTAGCCTGGCATGGTGGTACACGCCTTTAGTCCCAGCACTTGGGAGGCAGAGGCAGGCAGATCTGTGAGTTCAAGGCCAGCCTAGTCTACAAAGCCGGATGGGGCCACCCTGTTTCAAATAAAAAAAAAGTACTTACTGCTCTTCCAGAGGACCCCGATTCAGTTTCCAGCATCCACATGGTGGCTAACAACCATCCACAATTCCAGTTCCAGGGAATCCAATGCCCTCTTCTGACCTCCACAGGCATTGAATACATGGGTGCACTTACATCCATACATACAAGAAAAACACTCATAAAACCCAAGTGAGTTCCTATTCACACTGCCTTTCCTTTGCACACTTACCTTCGGCACAAGTCAAAGAGAATGAGCAGTTTACTGGAGCTGGGCAGGAGCTGAGGGGGTCCTAGAGATGGCCAGAGCTAGAAGGCCACTTAGAGGCCATGGCTTTTCCCAGCCTGCCTATTTGTTCAGCACATAGAAGATGCCCAGGCCAAGGGCCAGAAAATACCTTGTCCAAGGTCACATCAGGTCTCCTTTGGTTCTTCCCTAGCTGGAAGGTCACGTTGAGCTGCACGTGCCAAGCATCCTTCAGCCATGACCTCACTGCATCCTCTCCACCACTCTATCAGGTAACAGGTTCCTCGGTTGCAAACAACTTACACAACAGATTGTTTACCTCAGAGATGGAGAAAAGTCCCTAGCCAGCTCCCAGAGCCTCCAGGCAGCCCAGGTGCCCCATGGGGGTGGCTCATCAGGGGACCAGTGTCCCTGTACTTGGCTAGACTGATTGGGATCTCCCCAGGGAAGGAGGACATCTCAAAACCAACATGCCATCATGTAGGGGGCCACTGCTATTCTTAGATTCTATTCTGAGGATGGACTTGCTGAGATAGGGAATCTGGCCCCAGCCCAAGCTGGCCATCGGAGCAGGGGGATTCTGGCAAGGGTTGACCTGCCCTCCTTTACCTTCTCCTGCTTCTGTTTGTTGGGGTTCAGGGGATGCTGGCATTGGAGGTGCAGCACTTTGAGGTTCTCAAAGCCCACAGTGACATGACTTCTCTGTAATTCCCACACTAGGGTTGCTAACACTGTCATCTAAACAGGCCTTATGGGAGGGAACCTGGGCACATGCTCAGGGTCACTCACCAGTCAGCCTCAGATGGAGACCCTTTGGCTCTAATTTACCTCAGAGAAAGAGAGGCTCTCACTGGCAGATTGGCTACCTCAGACAAGCCCCTCCTGGCCACCTCTCATGGTGGCCTATGCTGGGACAGCAATACTATTATATTGTGTACCAGGATAGCAAGCTGACTTGGTGTAGAAACACAGGCCACAGGGACCTGGATGGGAAGCAAGGTCACCCCAGGGCTTTCCAGACCTCCTCAGCATGGGGCCTACACTCACCCCAGCCTGTGCTCATCACAGCTCCCGATGTGCAGGTCTCCAGCAGCTCTGGGGTGGAGAGGGTTTCCCTCTGACCTCAGCTATGTATCTCTTCAGATAGCACAGGTCACTTCTCAGATCCTCAAAGCTCACTCCCAGGTCACCCTTCTTTCTCAAACCCTTACAGTCCTCCAGTATTTGCCCAAAGACCCACTGGGCACAGTGCTGCATGCTATTAGTCCCAGCAGAGGAAGACAGAGCTCTCTGAGTTCAAGGCCAGTCTGGTCTAGATAGAGAGTTCCAGGCTAGACAGAGATACCTAGTGAGGTCTTGTGTAGAAACCAAACCCCAAAGGCCATCTAACCCACCCACATTCTTGGAGTCTGGCCTGGACACCAGGAGCCCCTGCTTTACCCACAGACCTGGCTGAGGCTCCTCCCCTCTCCCAGTGGCCCCGCCAGGGTAGATGGGCTAAAAGATCCTCCTGCTTCTCACCATGGGCTGCAGCTGGGTGGACACTGTAGAACCTGGGGTCAACAGCTGTGGTAGGGAGAGTGGCCCCAGTCCCCGGCAGCCACACAAATAGGGGGTGTGAGTCTCAGGGAAACATCGGAAAGGGAAAATTCTTTGGGGTTCAGTGTAGCTATTGAAAGCCAAGTCTCTAAAGATTTGGAGTTGCACCTGAGAAGAGGGGAAGGCATATGCCAAGACCATCCACAGGGCTAGCTTAGGGTTGCCTTCTCTGCCATCCAACAGAGGCTTCACTGCCCAGGAACACCAAACAAACCCACCAGGATGAGATCTGTTCTCCCGTCACCTTTGTGAGCACACTTATATTTGCATGGAACGTGGTAGGTTGGACATCACACCAGCAGACAGTTACTCTTTTGGTGGTACCAGCCCTGTATCAGGGCCTTTACTGGCTCCCTGGGACTTCTATCCGACATTCACACGTTGCACAAATTCACTTGCCGACAGCTGGAAGCCATCCATTCTCCCAGAAGTGAAGTTAGGTCAAGGAGCTTGAGGTCTTAATGTGAAGTGGGTTTTTTCTAGGCTGTAAAGAAAGGCAGACAGGCGTGAGAGGCCAAAATCAAAGGATGTTTATTAAGAGTTCTGGCGGTTCCTTCCAGAGCAGGGCCAGGAAGGTGGCAGCCTACACTAAGTTTGGGCTCTCAAATCCAGGAGCTCCTTTGGCAGGCTCTCCCGGCCCTGAGAGGCCAGGCTGGGATCCTTACTCCTCAGGATCCCTCTGTGCCAGGCCCTCCTTGGTACCTCCTGCCATCTTCCCAGGTTTAGACCACCTGTGACCACTGACCTCTCCATCGCCACCTGTAGCTTAAGATCTGGAGGTGAGGATTTAGCTCAGTAGTGGAGTGCTTGCCTAGCAAGCTCAAGGTCCTGGGTTCAGTCCCCAGCTCTGAGGAGGGAAGGAATTTGACTCAACTCTTCACAGATTCAGCAACAGTCTTCTCCCGCTGCCTGTCAATCCCATCAACAAGAATTAGTGAACTGACTCGGGACACCTGGGTTACAATCCCAGCTCTGCTCTGAACCTTGGGATTGGTTTTGTATTTGGGGGGGAGGGTTCTTTGATTTGTTTGTGTTATTTTAGTTTGGGTTTTTTTTTCAATATTTTATTTTTATTTTATGTGTATGAGTGTTTGGCCTGCATATATGTTAAGTGCACCTGTGCATGCAATGCCTGAGGAGGCCAGATGAGGGTGTCAAAATCCCCTAGACCTGAAGTTATGGATGGTTGTTAGCTACTGTGTAGATGCTTGGAACAAAATCTGGGTCTTCTGCAAGAACAGCCAGTGCTCTTAACCACTGAGTCATCGCTCAAGCCCCTATTTTGTTTTTTAAGACATAGTCTGAGCCCAGTGTGGTAGCGTACACTTTTAATCTCAGCACTCGGGAGGTGGATCTCTGTGAGTTCAAGGCCAGCCTGGTCTCCATAGTGAGTTCCAGGGCAGCTGGGGCTACAGGGAGACCCTGTCTCAAAAGACAAAAAAAAAAAAAAAAAAAAAAAAAAAAAAAAGACATAGTCTGGCAAACCCAGACTATGGACTAGGTATTTTTTAAAGAGACTTTAGGTCACTAAATCAAAGACACTCCATTTCTGAATCTCTTTTCTGAGGCTGGGCTGTGAGGGATATACACTCAAAGACACCAGCTTGCCTCACACTTCTGAGGAGCATCTCTGTGCTTCCAAGCCAGGCCAGAGAATGTTACA